TCATATTTATTCTAGTAAACATCTTTTACACTCAGATGCTCTGTGATCAGGATCCTTTTTAGCTCTGATACCTGAGTATCTCGAGTCAGGTATCAGAAAGTAAAATGGTAAATGGCCTGTATTTATATAGCGCTTTACTCGTCCCTAAGGACCCCAAAGCGCTTTACATATCCAGTCATCCACCCATTCACACACACATTCACACACTGGTGATGGCAGCTACATTGTAGCCACAGCCACCCTGGGGCGCACTGACAGAGGCGAGGCTGCCGGACACTGGCGCCACCGGGCCCTCTGACCACCACCAGTAGGCAACGGGTGAAGTGTCTTGCCCAAGGACACAACAACCGGGACTGTCCGAGCCGGGCTCGAACCGGCAACCTTCCGATTACAAGACGAACTGCCAGCTCTTGAGCCACGATCGCCCCATCTGGAGCGCTCATGTCCAAGGTGGAGGAGAAGAGGGGCGCAGGGGGAAGATCAGCGTGGTATTCCTTTGCTCAGTGGCTCTGCTGACTCTTGGCTCAGTGTTTCCCAAAGACAGGCATTCCAGGCTTGTGGGGACAAAGAGGCCCTTTGAACCGCAGTAATCCTCAGGAAGAGGATCGAGAGCGCCGCCGCCTGCTGCAGCGCGCTGGACGACGCACACCGAGGGTCGCACACGCTCAGTGGAGCACAAAACACGGAGCAGAACCACGTATGTGTGGCTGTGAGACTTAAAGCTGTTTGTTTAAAGCACCACAAGTTTGTTGATTTTAGGCATCTTCCCATTGCTTGTTATTTCAGTGCTGCTGTATCGGAACGACCAACATGTTGGTGGAGTCACAGTCGGGCTGGGGCCAATGGATGGTTGGCATGGTTACACAGAAGTGTGTGTGAAAACAGCCCATCCATCAGCTTATCTGACTCAGGGTCACAAAAGGGCCGGAGCCTATCCCAGCTGCCATGGGGCGAGAGCCAGGTAACACTCTGGACAGGTAACCACTGACATGCTCACCATGTTCATTTTATTAATCATAGACCCCACTAGAGTCTGAATGAAGGATGAGGCAGGGTCAGTGGCAGTACTCCAGTACTTTATGCTAACAAGACCTACGTGGATCTGATGACTTACTTTGTATAGTAACACTGTACAAATAAAATGTGCATCAAGTAATCAAATACTAATGTAATCTAAATATTACTGCAGGTAATAATTTTACTTTTAAAGGCAGCTTATACAGTAATGCATCAGTAATCAAACGACTATGGTATTGCACTCCTGGCTCCGTTTTTCTGGAGCATCTAATAAACAGTCTACATGACACCGACATCACAGCCTCACAAACAAAAAGCCTTAATGTCTGAAGGCCGACCCAGAAGCACCACCATCTTTAGGAGCAGGTCCAGACATCTTCCCGTTCGTCACCAGACAAACGCCACACCATGTGTCCGTCCCGCTGCCAGTCACTTCAACACGCATACATTTGCAGTGTCACTCACCCTTCCCTCCCTCGCTTTTGTCTTCGATGCTGTCCTTCACATGCTCACTCAAAACAAAGCTTCAAATCCATCCGGGAGCCGCGTCTTGAAAAGTCCTCCACCAGGCTCACTGTGAGCGAAGAACATTGTTGGTGGTAAACTATGAAAGGAGGGAGTGACACTGAGGGGGTGGAGGCTGGGGTAGGGTGGGGAGGGAAAGGAAAGGAAGGGCAGCGAGCAGGAGTGGGGGTCTGGAGGCGGTGTGGGATATCCCTTTGAGTCATGGAAACTGATCCAAAGAGCAGACGAGCTCACACACAGCCAAACAGCTCTGTGTCTGTATTGTTCAGTCCTGCAGCCCCGCTCACTGTGAGACGCTCTGGAAACACTGACTGGACGCCCCTCAGTCACTCAGTGGAAAACATGGATAATGTGCTAATGAATGCACACGTTCTCTGTGCACTTTCTTCCCTCCTCACATATTAGATTAAAACAAAGGACTTTCTGTCCTGCATGAAGCAATGAGACATTTCTTTAAACGTGTTCTTAAAGGAGTTTTGCTTCAGCCTCTCACGTCTAATCTCACCTGTAACATGAACAGAAAGCCTCCTTTCACACTGTGGCATGCAAACGCTGGCTGCTCTGCAGGTATGACAGCTAACACAACTGTTGATTGTACATTTTACACCTGTGTGCAGAGATTATCAACACATCTGAAACTCAGTCCAGTCCTAACTCATGCACTAGCATCAGCTAATGTCTAAAAGAGAAGAGCGACGGCTCGGACTCCACCTGCCTATAAAAAGCAGATATGGACATTTTTAAACCGCACGCGTACGTCCTGTTTATTCTCCTCACTGCTTTCACATTAAAGTTTCATGTTGAGATCTCAGACACACCCTTCAGCATCAGAGAGCCTCACATAGGCAGGTGAAAGAGAGGAGCGCCACGAGCTCATCTGTGTCAGACAGTGGCCAAAAATCCTTTGTTGCCATGGTAACCCCTGTGGGAAAACTGCACGCGTGGGTTACAGCTGCAGCATGTTTCTCCCAGCTGGTCAGGAGAAATAATTATATTAGAAACCAACAAAATCTGTTCACGTCTGAGCGTGCGAGCATCAGAGCGAGAGGTAAGAGAAGAGAGAGGAAGCTGAAGTGAGGCGAGCAGGCTGAGAGTGATCATTCTTTGTTTTGGGATGAGCCGCTGGCCTGCAGGCACGCCGCACACAAAAGACAAAAGACAATGAAGGGAGGAGAGAAAGAAAGGGAAATTTGCAGAGGTCGTATCGCAGGCTGCGTGCACAAACAGCAGATCACCGAGCTGTGGGCGTAACCTCTGCCGACTGCTCTGTCGGACAGTCCATCATGTTAAACTGAAAGGCCGGTGCAGGTTCCACTGTGGTGGGTCAAAATGCTGACCTTTACGGGGTCATTCGATTCGACTACAACCTGGATCTTACCCGGGCGTCGTAGGTGTGTATGTGTGTAACTGGACCCTACCTCCTCCGTCATGGCTGCGACTAATCTGAATGAAACTTGGTTACACATACAAACACTATTAAGACACCTATGTTTTTCAGAAGCATTTGTTGTAAATGGCAGTTCTGTTGACTCTCGAAAACATCGTTCCCCTGCGTTTCTTCCACATGTCACATTCAACATACATCAACCACACGTAGCTTAATGGTCACACATGGTGGAACTTTACTCAACTCACCACTAACTCTGGAATAAAGACGCAGCTTCCTCCACACTACTTCCTGTCAGTGCCGATAGCATCACACTGTACGATTACCTGTTACGATGGGCGGTTTGATCAAAGGTACTTTAACTGATCTGAAGATGACAGTCCTGGTTTACAGAAGTAAACACAGAGCCTGCCTCAGGAGGTTGATGTTGGTGGCACAGGTGTGTCACGCAGGAAGTCGTGGTTCGAGTCACGCTGGGACTGCTGCTTTAGCCTGCTCAGCCCGTGAGCTCAGCACCCTGGAACTTTCTGTTTTCAGCTTAATTTCACATTTTTCTCTTTCTGATTTGTTTTGTTGTTATTTGCTTTTTTACAGCTGTTGTAACTCACTGTGTTTTAGGGCTAAAGACTACTCGGAGAGGCGCCTGCGTTCCCTTAAACGTTATTTTTAGGCCTTCAGTTTAATCTGAGCAGATGCATCTCAGTCAGTTTATACTGTCCCAGGGGGTTTAAACCATGCTGTAGATGCGCCATTACCACAAACCCCTCCAGAAACCTGTGATGTAAACTGCTCGTCATATCTACTGCCATTGGCCGGTTCAGTGTGGTTGACTCCTCTGATGTACTTTTTAAATCCCTCGGTGAGAGAGTAACAGTTATTGTTACTGTTACTCAGTAACAGTTATTGTTACTGAGTAACAATAACTGTTACTCAGTAACAGTTATTGTTACTGTTACTCAGTAACAATAACTGTTACTCAGTAACAGTAACAGTTATTGTTACTCAGTAACAATAACTGTTACTTAGTAACAGTTACTGAGTAACAATAACTGTTACTGAGTAACAATAACCGAGTAACAATTACTGTTACTCAGTAACAGTTACTGAGTAACAGTTATTGTTACTCGGTAACAACAACTGTTACTGAGTAACAGTAACAATAACTGTTACTGTTACTTAGTAACAGTTACTGAGTAACAATAACTGTTACTCAGTAACTGTTACTGAGTAACAATAACTGTTACTGAGTAACAGTTACTGAGTAACAGTTATTGTTACTCAGTAACAACAACTGTTACTGAGTAACAGTAACAATAACTGTTACTGAGTAACAATAACTGTTACTCGGTAACTGTTACTGGGTAACAATAACTGTTACTCAGTAACAATAACTGTTACTCAGTAACAGTAACAGTTACTGTTACTCAGTAACAGTTACTCAGTAACAGTTATTGTTACTCGGTAACTGTTACTGAGTAACAGTTATTGTTACTGTTACTCAGTAACAGTTATTGTTACTCAGTAACAGTTACTGAGTAACAATAACTGTTACTGTTACTCAGTAACAGTTACTCAGTAACAGTTATTGTTACTCAGTAACAGTTATTGTTACTGAGTAACAATAACTGTTACTGAGTAACAGTTATTGTTACTCAGTAACAGTTACTCAGTAACAATAACTGTTACTGAGTAACAGTTATTGTTACTAACAGTTATTGCCTCACAAATGTCAGCAAATTCCTGAAATCAGAAACAAAAGCGTGAGCTTTGTATTGTTTCTGTGATTGTGCAGCGTGTCTGAAACACCTGGACACGATCGCCAGGTAATCGACACACACAGATGATGCTAACTGCTAACACAGGCTCTATAAATCGGACTGAGGTCGATTACACTCAAGAAGCTTCCCACTGAGGAGCGCTCTGATGCTAACGGCCTGAATGTAACGGATGCTCTCATCACTGCTCCAAATCTGTAACCCACAACAGGCAGCATTCATTAATCTACTCACACGGGGTCTTGCACTGAGTTGCCACGAGACAGTATAATTTGTATGAATTATAAGGCTGTTACCGTCCTCTGCTGGTGAATGCCCAGCACAGTCGTCTCCTTCCACAAAACAAAGAAAATAAATCCAACACCGATCACGTTTGAGGTCAGGAGTATCGCTGTCAGCAAGAGTAGAGCTCCAGGAGCGTGTTCAGGTCCAACACGGCTGAAATCGGTATGAGAATGGGACTGGGTGGATGTTTGGGGGTGGATAGAGTGCCTCTGTCCTGGCCTGATTATGCTCTCCACAGAATGAGCTCACATAACAAAGGATTTATTATCACTAGCTGGAGAGTTGCTGCAGTGTGGGAACCCCGCGCTGCTGTTTCCTCTGCCAGGCACCCAGAAAGCTGCGTTCCAGCTCTGATGGGTTTGACAACAGCACAGCCTGTATGCGTCTCTCTCTCCCCTTTGGTCCATAAAGCAGCCAATGTTTCAGAGACAGCTGCCTCTCACAGGCCCAGGCTCCTGCAGGTACAACTGCAACTTTGTGCTAAGACACTAACTGGCTGGACACAGTATTGACTCGACACTGTGTGTTTCACTCTGTGAAAAGACGCCTGATGTTCAGTTTAGTTACATTTCCTGAGCTCAGTCCAGGATGTCTAGCCTGTGGTAGGATCAGTAGCCTATTCTGGCTAATGTTAGCTAGCTTTGGCACTAAAGTATAAGTATAGAGTCCACTTTTTTCAGTAAACATGTCGCCTGGTTGGCTATGTGAGCAGGTGATTGCTGTGAAACTAAATCCTGAGAGTCACAGGATGAAAGGATCAAATGTATCTGTGGCTGTTTGAAGCTGCAAATATATATGCATGGGATCAAACACAGAAAGCTGCATTTGCATCCGGTTAAAGTTGCATATGTGCTATTTTTTTGTTTTAATCTACACATCTGATCAGCCAGAATTGGGTCCTTTAGCTATTACATTAGCAAGTAGTAATCCAACAGTTACTCTCATGAATTAGCCTTGAGACGCTGAGCTTCACTGTCTGTGAAAGAAACCAAGAGAGGAACTGTGCTTCTGCAGGAGGAGGTCAGGAGTGTCAGAGAAGGATGTGAGGCTGCTGCAGGACATGGCTGAGGGCAGTGACACAGTGAAGTCGTGCAGTAGGAATAACAGATGGCTCTGAACTCCTTATTTGCAGTGATGATGGACAGGTCAGCAGATGGGGTCATGCATGAGTCCCTGCGATCTGTGGTGAGAGTGGGGAGCAGGTGGAGGCAGACCATATGATCGCGACAGGCACCAACTTTGACAGAGGGGAATTCAACTCATTTCATTAAAGATAAATCAATAAAATAAAAATGTGCTCGAGTTACAAAAGTGCAAAAATGTGTGTGTCAGATTTCAGAGGCAAAGCTGGAGACAAACAGGACTTTTCTCCAGGTCCAGATGTGCGTCGTTGAACTGGCCACACACCAGCACGGCTGACTGTTTGCTCCAGCAGATCCAGGCTTTAAAACGATAATATATATATATATATATACACATCTCTTCTGCTCACTCGCAGCAACAACGTGAGCCTTCTGTGTCTTTGTCAGTGCTACCGTCTCCAAACCAAACAGCAGGTCTCACTGCCATCTGCTGCCCTGAACTTCACCTCCACGCTCTCTCTTCCTCACCTGTCTTGTGCACTCTCCGTTACTGTGGATGGTTGACCCCAGGTATTTCATCTCATCCATCTTCACTATCTACTCCATGTGCGTTCACCTTTCTGTCTCGCTTCTGTTGACTGTCATTCTTCCAGAGCATGCCTCCACTTCCCCAGTCTCGTCCACCTGCTCCCTACCACAGAGTGTTAGTGGCCTGAGAAAAATAAAAACCAGCAGTCAGTGCACGGTGCTGATGAGAAGATGCTCCGTCTGGTCACATACTCTGTGTCACTACAAGGCACCCTTTCACATGCACACAGTCATTTGATGGAGCAGAGCAGCTCTGAACGCAGCACATTCACATCTGGATTAGTGTAAGTGCAACATGTCAGCCAGCGCTGCTTGTTTGGCTCAGGCTTTGCAGAGAACAGGTCCCACCGCCAAGCTCGGCCTGTTGAGTCTGTATCACAGACACTAACCGTGCAGGCAGGACAAAGACCAAATCTGAAGGGGGCAGCTGCAGCAGGCTCAGCATCAGTGTCTCTGTTACTGGGTTATAAAATCTCATATGGATGTCTTCCAGTACAAACGAGTAGCCAGGTACTTATGAGAAGTGTTTTCATAAGATGATGTCATACAGTACCTCATTTATTTTCGTCACTGATAGTAACGTCAGTGTGTGGCGCACAGCTGGAAAATGTTACCAAATGTCGCTCTGGTGTTGCCAAGAAATATGAACAGCCCCTTCTCTAAGAAATACTGAAACCACAGAGAGCTGATGAACCGCCTCTCACTGGAGCGACGCCACCGCTCGACTATCACAAACACACCTGGAGCGCCATTTGGTTCAGAATTGATCCAGTTAGCAAGACTGCAGCTCCGACTTACTGTAGACGTGTGACGTCACAATAACCACATGAGCTCACACGCCGTGAAGTCCGTCACCACGTTTGCACCATGTTCTGCTTCCCTCTGCTCCAATGTTAGTGCTCATGTTGAATTTACCTGATGCAGATGTGGGAGGGTCTGTGCAGTGGGAGGGTCCAGTGAAACCACAGGTCTAAACAAACATGTCGCTGATGGTGTGACAAAAACCCCGAAAAACAAAAAAGCCACAAACAAAGAACGTGAGCAGGATGCACACAGGAAGCTGCTCTCTCTCCTTTCATCAGGGTCTCTCACTCACTGTGTCTCCTTGATGCACACACACACAGACGCACAAAGACAGAGACGCACACACACACTCTGTGGCTGTCATTACACACACTGGGCTAAAGCCATGTGCCAAACACTCTGCTGACACACACTGTCTGCCTGTTTGTCTCCGCCCTCTCGCCCCCTCCTGAATCACATGGTCACTCTTTCATTTTCTCTCTCACACACAGACACACACACAGACGCACACGCGCGCACCCTCACCCCCTGAGCTTGCCCCTCCTCCCAGCCGCGCCCCAAACAGCGACACAAGGCGCTCCTTCTTCTGGGTGAAGCGATGCAGTTTTGTTCCTGAGCTGCAGAGAAATGAAACCTGACTCGGAGGTAAACACGCTGCAGTCCTGAGTGGACTACAGTGAGCAGGCAGCTGTTCACTACAGAACAGCCATTCATTCTCTTCCACTGTAAACACAGCCTCTCCGAGCACAGGTTTGTGCCTGTGAGAGCGGCGCTCTGGTCCAGTTTGTTCAGCACAACAATGAGCAGAATCCAGGGAAGACGAGTCATTTACACTCCGTCTCACTTGTCAGTATATTGGACTGATTTGGACCCAACAGTAAACGGGCAGAAAAGAAAAAGAAAGCGTGCCTTTAGGTAACGCCGGCCTCACCAGCTAGCTTTAACTATTCAAAATTGGGGAAAGTACCTCAGAAACGTGTAGCAGCGAACCTGAGAAGGTCTAAAGCATCCGCTGCCAAACTGGTGGGATCACTTCAAAGACACATCAAAGACTCCAAACACCAGGATTTGGGCTCTAGGAATACAAACGGCATCTGAGGAATTCCCCATGATCACTGATCCATAAATAACCTCCTCACCCTGTCATCCTTTAACTCACGACTGTTTTTCACTCTTACATGTTCTTCGGTGGGTCACCAGTTATTCTAGCTAACTTGAACCAAATGTGAAGGAAGCAGGGATGCAGTGAATGTCCACAGACTGAGTCTTTGTTAAATGTGCCAGTCGTCTTCATGGTGGTGCTGTGTTCGATTAGATCACCCAGCTTGTTTGGTTTGCCCCTCCCAAACACCGCCTGTGTTATAATAATAAAACTAACAGTGAAATGAATGAAAGTGAAACAGATCATTTACAAACAAGAAAAACTGAAATAAGCAAGCAAATAAGAAAAACCAACGATGGTCAGACTGAGGGACGCCGTATGCTCTCAGCTGTTTTAATGTCCTGGCACAGAATCAACACATGTAGGATGTAAATGCACAGTATGGAAAGATGTGAGTGCAGTGGGCTCTGAGCTGTGCTTGTTGTGCCAACAGTGTGAAACTGACTCACCTTAATGAAGACAATCAGTGACAGCATGTTGTTTGTAGAGCAGAACCCCTGCAGGCTGTCATCTACAGCTGCTGCGTCTCTCAGCAAACTGCTGATTTGGACGTGTGCACTGAATTGATTGAGTACTTTTATGTAAAATGATCATCTGTGTTGTTGTTGTTGACCAAAATAAATTTCACTTCAATTCCAGCCTGAACCACTGCATCCATCCATCCAGAAACTATCTACACCCTCACTTATCTTAACTGCACTACTGTATAGCTCTGTGTAAATAATCATTCTGTACATTCGATCATCTTTAATCCTACAACTGTTTACAACTTGCATAGTTCCCATTTCTGTATAGCTGTATATCCCAGATTCTGTAAAGTTATTTATTTCATATTCTGTATAGTTTTTCATATTTATATCCTGTCCATATCCTGTACATAGCTTGTACTCACTACAGCCTGTACATACTTATAGTTATAGCATATTCACAACATACTTCATACCGTGTACATTATAACATACCATAATAGACCCATTTCTGTAATATACTCACATATCTATATTATTGCTAATATATATTGTAATATATCTATATCACTAAAGCACTTCTGGATGGATGCAAACTGCATTTCGTTGCCCTGTACCTGTGCATGTGCAATGACAATAAAGTTGAATTCTATTCTATTCTATCGTGTGTGAATACACTTGCCTGCATGTCTGCGTCCGGAGAAAGCTTCATTTTGAATTATATGACAAAGTGCACATGCCTAACATTGCTGCGAGGCCGTGTGGGATTTATCATGATTTGTATAAAGCACACTATCAGCCCAAATCTGTCCGCCTGGCTGTTGCAGAGCACATTCAACATGTTTATCCAAAGAAATGCTGATATGGCTCTGGCAGCTGCTGGGAAATCGTCTCGCAGACACACAGCTGTGATCTATCGACACGGGCCGATAATCAGCACTGAAATGCTCGGCTATCAAAACTCCCCGTTTGTCTCATACTCTGTTTTGGAAACCAGCTTAGCGCCGACTCCCACTACCATCACACACTCGCATTATCAGCTGTGGCAATGCTGCTCTGCAATGCTGTAACAGTGCACATACGCCTTTTCTCAGGCTGTAGCGCTGCAGGTGGCTTCACAAGC